ACTTTTCCGTGTCAGTTGCCGTGGGCTGAGAAGGGACAGTTAGATTTTTCTTTTGCTCCTAGTCAGAGATTAGGAGTAACTGAAACTATTTTTTTGGATGAGATTAATTTACTTTTTAAAGGCAATATTGTGCAGGATGTTAGGGAGAGGCAGAGGTTTTTAATGCATTTTATTGCCTTGTCAAGACATCAAGGGACCAGGTTGTTTGTGAATGCTCAAAGGCTGGGGCAAGTATCAATAGAGCAACGAGAAGTTACTACGGGGATATGTCAGGTGAGTTTGTTGCAGAAGACTGATGAGGGTATCTATATCCAGTGTACTATTTGAGAAGCAGTCGCTTGGACTAATAGTAAGACTGAGCAGGGATTTGTAGTGTTTGTGGGGAAGAAGTATTTGGATAGTTATAATAGTTACTGATTAAAAAGTCTTAAATATTTACGACCGAAGCAGGGGTATATTTAAAGCAAAATTTATCCCTTGGTTTTAAATATGTAAAATTATAATATAGATAAAGAAGTAAATAATTACTTTACTGGTCGTTATTTATTTGCATACTGAAAAAATAATAAAAAAATATTTGCCTATGGTCAGATAGCAAGGAGATATCTAACTAGTTAACTATATAATCATTCCTAGTTAGGTATGAATTGCTAAAAGCGAGTAGTGATTGGAAATTTAATTTTTAAATAATACAAACTTACTAAAATATGGTAAAAAAATCCTTACAAAAATGAATAAACGAGGACGGGTTAGAAAACGATGATAAAGAGAAATTAAATAAACTTGGTATCAATAATGACCATCCTAAATATACTTTGGGTGATTTAGAAAAATTATGTCGTTGGTATGATATATTAGCAGGTAATCAAGTAAATATTTCAGAAATAATTCAGAAGATAATTTTCAACAATAATTACGCAATTATTATTTATGGGGAAGGAGGTTATGATATTAGACTACTGTTTTATGAAAAAGTATCAAATAGTTTGAAAATACCTTCAATTTCCCTTAATGGTTATGACCGACATGACTTAGATGATATCAAAAAAAGAGCAGAAGATTTAGAAATCTTAAGAATTTCTTATAATGATGGCTACGAAGATAATAATTTTCCTTCGTATTTTAAGGAAGAAAAAGTTGAGAAAACTAATTTTTCGTCATTTTATTCAGTTAAGATGAACCCCGATAAATATATCAAACCTTTAGATGTTGTAAAGATATTTTGTCATAAAAAAAATAAGGGGTGGCGGGGAGGAAAAAGCCAATATATGGTTCATTCCTGTATATATCTTGGAAAAAAAAAGATTTGTCATGTCTATTATGATGAACTAAGCAAGAGAGCAATAGTTAAAATTGAGAATTGGAATAACTTTTTTATTTTGCAAGATGCTGATAAAATAATCTGCTATCACCCAATAATTGCCTTTAAAAAATCTGAAAAATTAATTGAACACATTGCTAAGTGTGTGGAGGGAAAGTACTTTGATGTAGGAGTTGGTTTTGGCAAGTTCAACATATGAACTAATAACTGTGAACATTTTTCTAATAGGTGTGTTTATGGCCTTAGTTTTTCAGAATTAGAGGAAAGTAGAAAAAAACCTGAAAAAAGGCTATGTAAGTTTGATGTTGAAAAAATTAATGAGCATTTGAATATGAATGAGAGTAAATTCAATAGCTTGGTTACTTCCGAACAACAAAACGTAGTTAGCGACAAAATAAGTGAAATAAACCAAATCGTTCAAAATAATCCGCAACGCAAGGAGATATCGCAATGGAATCGAGAATCGAAGTTAGACCGGTGGCTGACTATAGGTTAAATTAAGAAAAAATCATGTTAAAAAATCAAGAATTAAAAAAAAAAATAATCAAGGAAGAACTATCAAAACTAAGTGTTAACAGAGAGGGATTTTATGTTGATGCTGGAGAATTAAGTAAGAGAAATTATGATACTAGTAAAAGTAGTGTTAAATATCTTCCTATAATAGATGTTGACCCAGAAGGTATTCTTGAAGAGCAAGATTGACAAGAAATAATTCAGGCAACTATCAATGAAATCAAAGAAGATGCTGAGAATTGAAGCATCGAACATGAAGGAAAATTACTAATTGTCAGACGCGGGTCGGGAAAGAAGCATTATGCTGGAGGCTTTCAAAAAAAAGAATGATCCGAAATCGAGGAAATTTTGGATCAGAAAAAGGTTATACCTAAAAGTAACGATCAACAATCATTAAGAACTAAAGTAATTGAAAAAATCCTGCCAAACCTAAGCATTGATCCTTATGGAAATTATGTTTGGTCAGATTACTTAGCCGTGTTAACTTATGATGATGTCAATGATTATTATTATAACTCGCTGCCCACTGCAAATATTGACCCAGAAGGTATTCTTTCTGAAGAAGATTACCAAGAGATTTATCGAACTGTGATTAAAGATATTAAAGAAAATGCTAAGGAGTGAAAAATTGAACCCGAAGGAAGTTTGACAGTAATTAAGCATAATTCGGGAAAGAAGCATTATAAAGAGGGATTTGAAGAGGAAAAATGGAGGGAAATTGAGAAAATTATTATCCAATTTCAACAATATAATAGACAAAAAACCACTAAAAGAATGAAAATAAAATTTACTAAAAATAATTGAAAAGAAATTCATCCGGATTTTACTCCGGAATTACAAATAGAGTGGGAAAGTAAAAATTTTGATTACCAAGAAATTAAAGAGTGAATAACCTCTGGATTACAAATTAATGATGCAGATTATGCTCATTGATTGAATATTGTAAAAGGTAAAGATGCTAAGTGGGTTCTAAAACATGGCCATAGCCAAGAATGGAGGGAAGAATTTGAAAAAGATAAAGATTGAATTGAGAGAATCAATAATTCTCCACACGAAGAGTTTAATAAGCCTGGATTAACTATTCAACATCAATTGTTTATTTATCGAAAAATACAGAACCCAAAACTAGACTTAACAGCAAAAAAGGACGACAGGTTACGATGTCAGGAATGTTATCAACCTAATACCGGTCATGAATGATGCCAATCTTGTAATGCTCAGCATTTTAAAGATAATTTTTTGAATTGAACGAGTGGTAATTGCCATATTGACGAACTTATTCAAGAATGCCAGTTGCAAGCAACTACCAATGTAGAAGTTTTAGAATGAATTCCTTACGAGCAGTTTACCAGCATTGAGATAGTTGGACAAGGTGGCTTCGGTACTGTTTATAAAGCAAAATGAGCAGAAGGGACCATTAAAAGTTGAAACGTTAAAAATAACGATTGGGAAAGAAAAAAGGAAGGAAAATATGCATTTAATGGGATGGTTGCTTTAAAAATCTTAAATAATTCCCAAAATATTACTACTGAATTTTTGCAAGAAACCATTAACCACAAAATGTTTAATGGAAATAATGTTGTGTCGTGCTATGGTATTTCCCAAGATCCTGAAACTAAGAATTATATCATGGTTATGTCATATAAAGAAGAGGGCAACTTGCGCCAATACTTACAAAAAAATTATAGCAAGTTAAGTTTTGATGACAAAATTAATTTTTTATCAGATATTACTGCTGGGCTAGATAAAATTCATGAACAAGGGTTAATTCATAAAGATTTTCATGCGGGTAATATACTATGTGATCATGACTTTTGGCATATTTCTGATCTAGGTTTGTGTCGACCGGTTAATGAAGAGGATGAAGAAAAAATCTACGGAGTGCCGCTTTATGTTGCTCCCGAAGTAATTAGAGAAAAAAAATACACTCAAGCAGCTGATATTTTCTCGTGAGGCATGGTAACTTATGAAATATTTTCTGGCTACCCTCCTTATTGCGATTTGACTCATGATGATAAAAAAAAAGAACTAAGACCAAACTTAGACAGTGTTAAGGCACCTCAACTATTGAAAGGATTAATTAAGCAAAGTTGAGATATAGATCCTAAAAGCCGCCCAACTGCTAGTGAAATATTTAAGATTTTAGGCGGTTACTTTGAGGAAGATGAAAACCCACAATTTTATCAACAGTGTAAAGAAATAGAAAATTCTGAAGTAGAATCATGCAGAAAAACTCTCTTAGAACTTTATAATAAAGAAGCAAAAGCAAAGGAAGAGAAAGAAATAAGAAGAGAATTGTTTGTTGTGTTTTGTCAACAAAACAATTATGCAGAAAAAACAGAGGAGGCAGAAAGAGAATTTCGTGAACTATTACATCCTCGCACAAAAAGTTTAAGTTATCAAGACCACCATCAGGATATTAGTACTCCGTTATTTCTAAAGAATGAGGAAACTTCTTATAACTCAACTAAAATTACTGAACAAATTAAAGAAATAGAAAATAAATTAGAAGAACTTAAAAAAGCTTTCAACAGCGAAACAACGGAATTAGTAGAAACTTTCATCCAAGTCCGCAAAAAAATGATAAAAAATAAAGAAAGTAAACAAGCAAAGATTGAAGCAAGAAAACTAGAAGAACAATTAGAAGAAAAAGGGTTGGAGGAGAAGATAGATGATATTATCCGTTGTTGCGAAAGACTAGTTGAATTAGAGCAAAAAATGGAGAATGAACAATTCCAAACCAACATCGAAATACCCACTAACAAATAAAAATTAACAAAAATATGGTAAATAATCAAAATGAATTTAACAGTAAATATCCTAAAGAAACAAAAGAAATAAAACTTAAAAATAAAGATTTTTCAGGACAACTAATTATTGAAAATTATCCAAATTTGGAAAAATTATATCTACGAGATGATGGAAATATAAGTAAAGTAATTCTTGAAAACTTAGGTCAACTCCAAGAATGTACTATCTGAAATTGTGAAACTAAGGATTTGATTATTGAAAATTGTCCACAAATAAGAAAGTTAAATATTCGCAAAAATCTTTTAACTAATCTAGAATTCCTAAAACCTTTAAAAAATTTGGAAGAGTTAGAAATAGATGGTAACACTAATATTGATTCTGGATTAGAATATCTACCTGAAACTTTAAAAACTTTTTCTTATGAAAATACTAAATTAACTGAACTTTTAAATCCTTATAAGGGCGATTGAAAGGCTTGTCAAAAAGAACTTCAAGAACTAATAGAGTTGGCCAATAATAAACCTCATGAATTATTGAAAGCAATTAAAAACTTAAAAGAACGACAGCCAATTATTATTGATAATCCAATTGACTTTGAAGAAAAATATCAAGGGTTAAAAAGGAAATTAGCCTCCTTAATACAAATAAAAACTCAGGAACTAAATAGACTTGCTACCAGTGATCTGATGGAAAAAGTGGAGAAGAATTGAAAAGATTTAGAAGAGGAAGTATCTAGATTGCAAAAGTCGAAGGAAGAGTTTGAGAAAGTTTACCAAAAAATTGAGCAAAAAGAAAGGGAATTAGAGAATTTAAAAAATGCTTGTTTAGAAAAAGCAAAAGAAAAAAAAGAAAAATGTAAAAAAACACTTGAGAAACTTCTAAAAAAAATGGCACAACCCAATGATAGTGATTTTGATGAGGTAATAAGAGAGAGTAAAGAATACTTGTCGAAAAAAATAGCAAACTCCTCACAAGAACTAGATAAAATCTGTTCATTAAAAGAAGCAATCATCAAATTACAAAACAACTTTAATCAGCGAGAAAAACAAATTAAACAGGTAATTAACAATATTAACATTAAATCAGTAGGCAATTACATTGAAAACTATTTGCCTCAGGAAGGAAGCACTACTAATTTTGTTGGTAGCCAGCAAGTTACTGAATTAGAAAACCTTATTCTCGAGAATAAAGTAGAAATCCTTCCTAAATAATAAAAAAATATGACAGAAGAAAATAAACCAACCAAAAGAATTTTTGGAAAAGTAGGTAATTATATTGCAAATTTTTCTCCTTCATCAGGTACTAACACCACCCTTATTGGTTTTCAATATCAAGGAGTTGCAAATGAAACAAAAGTTTGTTTTGTTTGCAGCAGGGAAGTGGGGACTGCAGTCAAAAGTGGTTATCAATGTGAATTATGTGCTCAACAAAAAGCAAAGCAAGTAGGTGAATTAGCAGAAGAAAAAGTACAGTTAAAGAAAGGCGAGGAAGAACTTAATAAACTATTTGAAGAGCTGTGTTTAGGGCTAGATAATGTGGGGAAAATGGTTAAGGCAGAAAAAAGCAATCAGCCAGTTGCTCAAATTCAATTCACTTTAGAACACTTAATTGGAAAAGGAAGTTATGGCGAAGTCTATTATGGTAAATGAGAACTCCGGGACGTAGCAATTAAGAAGTTGTATTTATCACCCAACAACATTTCTCAAAATGATTTTAAGGGCATTGTGGATGAAATAAACATTCTCAAAAATCTAGAGTACAAATATGTAATCCAATATCATGGTGCTTACTTTGATAATCAGCAGTTTCTCATTATCATGGAGTATGCAAAAAATGGAACCTTAACTAAATTTATTAACGATAATAAGGGTAAAGAACATGACTGAATTCTTAACAAAAGATTTATTAGTCAAATGGCTCAGGGGCTTGGTTATATTCATCAACAAGGAATTATCCATCGGGATCTAAAAAGTCTGAATATCTTATTAACTAAAAATTATGAGATAAAAATAGCCGATTTCGGACTATCAAAAATTAAGATGATTATTTCTTCTAAATCTAGTCATTCTGGTGCGTTAGGCACGCTTGGGTGGATGGCTCCGGAAATACTTAATGATAACCCGAAATATTCTGAACAATCAGACATTTATTCACTCGGTATGGTTATTTGAGAAATTGCTGCTAAAAGTACCACTCCTTTTAAAGACATTGATAATATATTAGTGCATGTTGCTTTCAATGATGAAAGGGAAAAAATACCTGACAATGCTCCACCAGAAATTCATGATGTCATTGAAAGTTGTTGAAAAAAACATCCTGAAGAAAGGATGACTTTAACTAATTTACTCGCCATGATAGATCCTCAAGTGGTTTTTGCTGATGGGTCATCGGACTCTAAAATTAAAAAAAACTCAAATCAAGTTAATAGTGATAACTTTTTTGTTATCAATTATGAACAAGAGGAAAAGTTGCAACCTCAACTCGAGGTACCTCCAAAAGGAAAGAACTAGAAAAAGTTTGGTTAGTAATATGAACCGCTAAATTATTGGACTACATGAATCCTCTTGCAATTATTGAAGTGCAACATAATACTAAGTAATTTTAATTGTTAGTATTAATTTCAATTTGGGCCTGTAGTTGCATTTCCTCTAACTGTTGTTCTAGCATAACTCACTCTTCACAATGTTTAATGAGTTTTTCAATATCCTCCGTCGCCAATCCTTTTGCCTCTAACTGTTCTTCCAATTCACCAGCTTCTTTTTTGGCTTTTTTATTATTTTTATCTTTGATCATTTTTTTCCTAGCCTTAACAAAATTATTAACAAGTTCTCCCTCTTTGTCATCTTTAAGGGGCACTTTGAGAACTGTTATTTCTTCTTCGATTCCTTTGATTCTCAATTCTAGTAAAGTAGAGGTTTGCCACTCCTTAGAAGGATTATTTTGGGGTTGGGGTAGGCTAGGGAAGTCTAAAAGGCGGCTAGTGTAGACAGACTGCGAGTGAAGAAGTTGTTTACTTATCGAAGGATATAATAGTTCACTAAATGCCTTCTGAACCTCCCATTCTAAGGAAGCATATTTATTATGTTTATAATGCTTTTTACAAAATTCTAAAAATAATTCATGTTTTATTTCTCGCAATTTTTCCTCAGCATTTATTTGTCTAGGCTCACCCTTAAGCTGCTGATAAAGTTTCGAAAGCAATTTACTAAGTTCGATATTTTCTCTTTTTTCTATTTCCTTTCACTCCCTACCAAATCCTGTATCCTTATTTTTTTCATTTTTTCAATCCTTTAAGGTCTTAGATAGTTCACTAGCAGTTGGACGCTTGCTGGGGTCAGCATCTCAGCACTGCTTAATTAAGCCTTTTAGCATTTGCGGGGCTACCACTTTGTCTAAATCTGGACGAAGTCCCTTACATATTCGTAGTGCCAGCAAATGATTATAACTCAGATCAGAGTACGGAGGACAGCCAGAAAATATTTCATAAGCAATCATTCCTGAAGAATAAATGTCAGAGGCTTGGCTGTAGGACTGGCCTTGTAATGCTTCGGGAGCTACGTAAGGCAAAACACCATAAATTTTTCCTTTGTTGTTCTCATTAGCCGGTCTACTTAACCCCAAATCAGTAATATAGCATTTGGCGTAACTAGGACTGTTAATACCATTGCTGCTGCTTAATATGTTGCCCGGGTGGAAGTCTCGGTGGACCAAGTTTTGCTCATGAATATATTCCAAACCACTTACAATATAGAAAAATTGGTTTAATTTATCTACAAACTTTAATTCTCTATAATTTTCTCTAAGAAATTCCCTTAGATTACTATCCCTCATGTAATCTATCACTATTATGTAATTTTCTGTCGCTGGATCTTGAGAAATTCCGTGACATTTGGTAATATAAAGACTGTTGAATTTGCTAAGGCTCATATTATCAAATAGTTTATGAGAAGTAACCTCCCGCAAAAAGTCGGTAGTTACATCCTGGGAATTATTTAAGATTTTCAAGGCAACATTCATTTCATTAACCGCGTTCTCAGGAACTAAATGAAGATTAAAAGCGTGTCTGCTTTCGTATCTTCTTTCTCATCTATTATTCATAACATTTCAATGTTTAATTGCTCCATCAACCCATTTGGCTCTATATACTTTGCCAAAGCCTCCTTCAGCTAGATATTCAACATCAGTAAACCTATTGTAAGGAATCCATTCCAGCACTTCATAAAAGTTTTTTGCTTCTAGTTGCCTCTTTTGAATAAATTTGTCAATTTCGGGATTACCACTGGTTCATTTGTCAAAATCCTGGGCAAAATGCTGAGCATTACAAGACCAACACCAATTAGTTCCGCCAAAACTGGTTCCAGTATTAGGTTGGTGACATTCAAAACAAAGTCCATACTGTTTAAATTGTTCTCTTAATTTTTCACTAGACAAAAATTTCTCAATTAATTCTTTTTGTTCTCGAACTAATCTTCAATACGTAATATCTTTTATTTTTTTAAGTGTTTCCTTATTAAGTTTGGAATTACTTGTTAATTCCTCTAAAAAATTTTCATATTCTTCTCTCAAATGTTCGTTGTTTTCATGATTTGAAGATTTGGAAACTCATTCGCTATCTTTACTTTTTATAATCTTTAACCAATAAGCACAATCGTAATCTCTAGTTTTTAACCCTATGTCTAGCCATTTTTTGCAACTATCTTTGTCGAATCCTTTGTCTATTCATTTTTGGGTTATTTCTTCTGTAAAGCCTAAGAAAGGAGAGCCGTGTTCTTTTCAGTTAACCATAATATATTATTTTTAAAATTTTCTTTGAAGTTTTCAGTCGTTATTTAGTAAATACTTATTTTTAGTTGTTGCTTATATTTTCTGCTAAATAATTTTCTCTCAGTCCTTCTCGTTCCTTACCAAAATCAAATTTCTCCAACTCTATCTTCTCCATACTCTTACTATATTTCTCCCTAATCCTCCTAATTATGGCGATTACGGCCACTCCACAATCAGAACCATTATTCTGCCTAATCTTATGCCGGGCTAAAAAGTGCTGACCAGTAAGATGATTAGGAACTTC